GAAGTTTAAGGAAGATGCAATGAAAAAACACGTTTGCAAACCCACCTAAAGTTACAAACAATAGCGCCGATTAGAGTGATCATGTGGTAAATGTTGATCCGCCAGCTGAGATCAATCGAGTGTTTTCTTTTTGCTAAAAGACTCGGTGGATCAGCTTTCTTTAATGGCCCGAATATCGATATGTTGCATTCACTGCGTGTTCAGTGCAAATGGTCGCTAAATGTAAAATCTCTGTTGCTCAATCACAGGAAGACGATGAACAATCTTGTGTTGAGCCCAATGAGCCTTACATCCAATAATTGAGCAAGAGTGTTTCTTTGGTGATATTCCTTTGACTCACACGCTGAAAATTGCAGACATGAAACAATAAACTGAGGATATGGTAATGCGCGCCTGTCAATCAATATTGGTGGGCGGGGGGACCGCACTAGTGTCAAGTTGCGGTCGGTCTCAAAACCGCTCCAACTGGTGCATCGTTTTTATGTTGTTAAATTGAGGGAAAAAAAGGCCTGGGTGTGTTTATATCAGTCTATACACTATACTTACAGACATGTCTGTCCAAACAGCTTGAAAAGTAGATTATTCTCCATAGGTACTCTTTAATGGCAACTGTGTTTTGGTTTCTTGTCATCAATCCCAGCATTTTAGCTTCTTATTTGCAACATTTGTTAGAATGTAACAATGTAAATGGTAAGCCTGTCACAATAATCAATATCGCACAATAAATTGACATGACCTTAATGATTTTTGGTGATGCAATATTTATCGCCCATACATAAAAAACAATTCTAGCAACATTTTAGTTTATTGCACAACCTCTCTATCTCTATTAGAGGTGTCAGTGTCAATATGGTGTATATACTGTACAAGGAATACTAAATATACTATAGTATATTTTCATGTTTGTGTCTGACACTTTGTTAATACCATTTATTATTATTTATATAGGAGATGCATTTTCATATTCTGAATCCAATGCCTATTTATTAAATTGTTAAAATGACTATAATTAAATTAATTATTTCTAAGAATAAAATATTACTGTGTTCTTTGGATTGTGAAGATATTATATTGTCATTCTGGCAATATAATGAGTGGCATAAAATGGTTATATAATGACAACAATATAGTTTATCGCAATGTATTTTCATGTCAATATATTGTACAACAAACAATAAAAATACTGCAGTTTCCACAAAATGCTAAGCAATTTCTTGATTTTAACACAAATATATTACATTTTTATGTTTGTATTTATGTATATTTAAAATTCCATTTTTCTTTTATTATTTAAAAATAATATATGCCCAGTGTGTCTTGTTGTATTGTCTGTATCACATTATATTCTCCAAATAATATATTCCTGTATTAAAATAATGTGAATTTATATTTTAATTTAACAATGCAGTTACATGATCACAGTTAGATGTAGTTTATGGTACTTTTTAAAATATTAATGTTCTGTTTTCTAGGCATGGGCCGGTAAAAGACGCTATGATAACTTTGGATAAAAATATCACAGTTTTACGGTATTGTGTACGGTACTCCTCTAAAATATGTTCTTTTTAAATGTGTGGATAAAATCTAAAACTTTGCCCTTTGAATGCAATGTATTTTATTTTGAGAAACAAGTGTTTTGGAGCAGTAAACATGTCAGGCTGAATAATTCAAATCAATCATTGACTTTTGCTCTCTTCATTAGTTTCAAAAACACAGATTTATTTACAATTTAAAATGGTATGTTTGGATATCTTTACTGCTGGAAATACTGTTGTCTTAAAAATCAAACAACAACAAAAATACTTAAAAAAAAAAAAAACCTTACATATACATATAGGAATGGTATAGCAGAAAGCGTTGTCGGTTTTTAAACATTGACTTCTATACCTTGACTGGTATACCTTGAAAACGGATATCATCCCATGCCTACTGTTTTCTAAACCCTGTTGTTTGGAAAGCACAGTTGAGAGAATACCAAAGCCATATACAGAACCATTGATAGAAGTAATTGTGTGAAGAATAGACTAAGGTTTATAAGATAATTGTCAGTGTGGTTGGATCCTGTTCAATTCATGCCACAAGCATCATATCTTGTGTTCATACTGTACATGTTCCGCTGGCCTTCAGAGATGGAGAAGAAAGGATATCTAGTCTCTCTGTTTAAACTGTTCACTGAAGTGCTTCCCTGAAATCTTTTTTATTTTCCCTGTGTTGATCGTAAAAGCCAAATCGTAAAGCAAGCCATTAACCACCCATCAGCATGGGCCAATGCCAGCATGGCTTTTTGCATATTTATGAACAGGAAGGCTTGGGTTGGGAGGAAGAAAAACATATGTATACACACTTATTCAGAGAATTATATTTTACATGCACAAACACGAATAGACTTCAACTGCACACACATTTGGATGGTAGTCAAATGTTGTTTAATTTTTTTCCTATTAACAGGAGCATCAGAGATGGAGAGCTGAGTTTATTAACTGCACAACATGGGTAATGGAGTGAATGGATAATATATACTGACACTACACACTCTCAAACACCACAGCATTGTGTCTGTGGGTGGGTTTTAAGACCCAGTTTTCTGGTGAAGAACATATTATAACCAGATATATAGTTTCAATCTTAAAGGGATAATTCACCTAAAATGAAAATGTAGTCATTTATTCACCCTGCATCTTTTCCAGTGCTGGTATGTGGTTTTTTGGACCCCAAGTGAATTATATAAATTATTTAAAAAATAATAATTTCAATGCAGAAATCTATGCTTATAGTTTTCCTGTTTGAATCAGAGTGAACTGCAACACTAGTAAAGTGCCTGTGAATTTGCAGCCATGGCAGAATTTTAGTTAAATAATACATGATATTAGTTATATTATAATTAATAATATACTTTGGTTAGTTTGTCACCAAATCCTCTTGAATTCCCTTCAAACATTGAATATTTATGACATGTGTCACAGTATTTAATGCAGTTTTTTTTGGTAGTGTCAAGCTACTTTATAAGGTGATTTACTGTTTTATAATCTAGTAGACCCCAGCGCTTATGTGCTAACTTTTTATTGTAACGTCCGTGATTATTTGTATACTAGTTAAATATATATATTTTTAATAGGGGTTTCAAAACTAATTGTTTCTTATATATTGTGCATATACTCATGTGCATTATGTTGCGGTAGAATACTATGGTGAGGATGGCAAGAGCGAGTAATTAAAACGCAGAAACACACAAGTGCACAATTCACTGTGTGTGTTTGGTGGACAGTCATTTAGTAACACTGAAGTTACAGCAGAAGCTCTGATTTTACTGCTATGTAGTAAAGAATAATTGAAAAGCGAAATGAAAAATAAAAGAAGACTCCATCTCTCTCTTTCTCTCTCTCTCTCTCTCTCTCACACACACACACACACACACACACACACACACACACACACACACACACACACACAATGCAAATCCAGCCAAATCCAATTAGTTGGTAAACAAAGCAAGTCTCTCATAATTTATTTACTAAAAGACAGAAAATATTACTTTACTCACTGTATTGTAAATAAATCAAAGAAACTTCGTTTTATAAATATTATTATGGAAATTAATATAAAAACCGAATAAATATATATACATATTTGCACACATTTACACAAGTAAATAAATTAACTCAGTGATGGAAATCTGCGGATTTCCAGTGCATTAGAACCAATCACAGCCCTTTCTGTTGAGCATGTGACCAATCATTGGCGTTTACTTGCTCGACAATGCTCAAAAAGCAAGCAGGATAATATTTACGTTTGTTTAAATAGTCAAAAAGGGTGTTTTCTTTGAACAGGTAAAATTTAAGGTACAGTTCCTATGTCTGACTGTTAAGATTGTATTACAAAAAAAAATGTATTTAAAAAATTATAAATTTTAATGCAATAATTCTTGTGCTGAGAAGTAAAATCTAATTTTTTCTATGGAAAGATCATGACAGCAGGTGACCAAAATTCAATATTTAGCCAGGGTCTAAGGACAACATTATTTTGACGTCCAATAGTGTTGTCAAATTACGCTGATATTTGGTTGATTTTAGGTTGTGTTGGAAAGTGATCAAAATCCAATGTCTAATAGATGTCATAGTGGTAACTTCCACACAACGTCAAGGTGTAACCTGATTAGACGTTGATATTTGTTTGATTTTAGGTTGGACATTGGGCATTGAGGTTGGCCTGATATTGGGTTCTGACATCAACCTGATTTTCATTTTCAAACAAAATCCAACGTCCCCATGATGTTGGGGAACGATGAAGTACAACGTCAATGTCAATGCGTCATGCTGACGTCCTGTGCCTGCAGGGATCATTGTAATCTAATTCCACCTTAAGACAAAAATAACAGTAATAATAAATGAATACAGTGTGGTTGAAAAAAAACGGACTCAACCTTTATCTCAGTATTTCTGGGATCATTTAGATGTTTCAAATTAACATAATAATTTTGTGTGCTTGAAAAGACTGATGTTGTTTTGTAACTATGTCTAAACTGCTTGTTGCGTGTCAACAGCAGCAGAAATGCAGATCTGAATGTCTGCAGTAATCAAACTTGTCAAAGGTTAAACAGACATAGCCAAACTGTTGTCACGCAGGAGTAAGATTGTGTGGGTGTTTGGATCGAGTTTGTGAACTTTTAATGATTAATCATGCAGCTCTATAAGCTGATCAATATATACAGAGAAGAGCTGAAATCCAATGGTTGTTTGTTTCCAAGAAAAAGAGCAACTGTGTCAATAAGCATGAATATTGTTTGATGATTGAGATGAGTCTCTTGGTTTAGTTGTGAAAGGAATGGAGGATGGGGAACACCTTCCTCTCTCCTTTGTCTTTCCTGCAGATGCATCCTACTGCAGTATTATCCCCGACGGGCTTTAAAAAGCACTTTCTGTTCTGCAGAAATGGTAATGACGATTATGATGTTATGATGGCTTTAACTCTTTTGGTCTCTCTGTGTTTTTCTCTGTCTGCAGAGGATGAGTTGTAGCTATCTGCTATGTACCATCTTGCTCTTCGTGGCCGTTCTGCTCGCAGTCACAGTGACAGGAACCATTCTTCTTATGAACCACTACCAGGCTCCCCCTATGTCGGACGGCCCGCCCCATATTAGCACCAATCAGGACGAAGCCAATGCACTGGTGACAGTCGAGAGGGGTGATGGATCACGCATCAATATCTTCATCGACCCCAACTGTCCTGATTATAACAGTAACTTCCTGCGGCTGGAAGGTGTGCAGACGTCTTTGCTGCACTCGCTCACTGACCACGATACGGATCTCAAGTCTGTCAAAGGTCAGGATCGAGCGCTATTGGTCAACTTGGCAGAGGAAGTTGCTAAGCTGTCTGCTCATGCGGGGCAGCTGAAGATGGACTATGAATCTCTCAGAAGAGGACAAAGCAACCTGGGACAGGACCTGAATACACTGCAGACTGAACAAAGCAGACTTATACAGGTAAGGGTGTGCAGAAATACATGCGTATATACAGTTGAAGTCATAATTATTTGCCCCCCTTTAAATTTTTTTTAAAAAAATATTTTCCAAATGATGTTTAACAGAGCAAGGAAATTTTCACAGTATGTCTTATAATATTTTTTCTTTTTAAGAAAGTCTTATTTGTTTTATTTCAGCTAGAATAAAAGCAATTCTTTTATTTAAAAAAAAAAATACATTTTAGGTCAAAATTATTAGACCCTTTAAGCTATATATTTTTTTCGATATCCTACAGAACAAACCAAATATACAATAACTTGCCTAATTACCCTAATCTGCCTAGTTAACCTAATTAACCTAGTTAAGCCTTCAAATGTTTAAATTGGGGAAACAAATAAACAAGGGGGCTAATAATTCTAACTTCAACTGTATGTGCACACACACTTATATGTGCATTTATGTATGGATATAAACAAAGTTAAGCATGCAATTGTACAAGAATTGTACAAGTTAGATAAACTATTTGTTTAATAAGAATGCGCTACTATTTTGCATAATTGTGGCAACCAAAATAGTTAATAGGGCTGGGAACACTGTAAGAAAGGCAGATGGCAGATTTTGATTGTGCCATGTCTTTGTTGTCAGGTCAATATGTCAGCTGTCTGGACGCTGGTGCGAAATCAACATAGTGCTAAAGTAACAAAACTAATTTCTTATTTATATTTGAACTAATATAGATTCCTAAATACCAAGATAATGCACATGCTGTATAAATATCTGCTATAAATAACTGCTTTTCAATCCGGAGCAAAAATGGGTCTTTAAATAGTGTTGCCAGGTTGGAAGGTTTGAATTTAATTGTCTGGGTAAAAAAAGGCATAGGCAGGTTGACAAAATTGGCGCAGTTTTAAAACGTAAATTTTATATGCAACTTATTTAACAGAATATAACTGTGTGCTCTTACTTCATTCAATTAGCAATGATCAGTAAACAACCTTTCGGCAATAAAGGGTGAAAACAGCTTTAGAAGATTGAAAAAAAATAATGTCTACGAACACAGAGAAAAGGCCGAAAAATTATTAGCATGGCAAATAAAAAAACTGGAGACAGAAAAAGCCAATAATACAATTCAAACACTAAACGGTGAACTAAAATCGAATCAAATCGAATTAAAGATAAGCAGCGCTTTCGTTCTGTTGTTTAAAGAGTGGTATAATCTGACTCAGCACATTACATTGAAGACCAAACCCAGTTTCTTAATGATCTTCAGCTGCCACGTATATAAGAAGATGATAAAAATTATTTTGACCAAATAATAGAAGAAAGTGAATTCTTAATATCCATATCAAACCTAAAGAATGGCAAAACAGCAGGCCCAAATAAATTGGTTGGTCCTTTTAAAGAAATGCATATAGAATCATTTGAAAATGGATATTTACCACCATAAATCTCAGACCAAATGCGAGTCATACAAGGCCAATTTCCCTACTTGACACAGATGCAAAGATCTTCGCAAAAAATTTTGGCATCAATATTAGAAAAATGCTTTCCATCTATAATAGGTATAAACCAAAACGGTTTTAGTAATGACCAGTGAATAGCACAAACCATGGAAGCCCACCCGCAAGAGGAGGTGAAGGAAAGTTGTATCCAACTCTGACTCACCGGATTAATCTGACTCCCCTTCACGTGCACAAGTATCACACAGCGCCTGCAGTTATACTAACAGCGGTTTATCATAACACTTTGATTGATAATTCTTTTCCGCAACTGACAGCAAGAACAAATATAAAATCGTTGTCTGATTGACAAGCAGGTCCTAATTATGTTCAAAAGAATTTAAAACAACAAATGGGACGAATTTATACCCCATTTTGAAAGTAAAACATACTCTAATGTGTTGTGTAATTTACACAACATTAAGTGCAGTGTGTGGGTGAGAGGGTGGCAGTGTTTCAATGTGATCCGGTTTTGCTGTTGTTGTTCTGGCATTGGTTGCTGTATGGTTAATTTACACCAGTTAAAGAAACTAGGTTAATTTCAATTTAAATAAATTAAAATTAAATTAAATATTAATCTAATATCTTGAAATTTTTTTGTGTTTGTGTGGGTTTTGGACAGCTTTTGGGCTGGTGAAAGTCAGCTATATCTGTCAACACTCTTTAAACTAGATTTTTATTTTTATTTTTCTAAAGATTTAAGATACAATTTTACAATAATAAAAAAAACTTGTCTTGTTACAGGTCATCATTTTTAATTACCCTTCACTGGGTCATTGTAAATGGCCCTGCAGTGTGATAAATTAGCTTTTAAAAGTGTAATTAAGTAATCAAATCAGTTCATATGTGGTCATAAAAGCTGCATGTGTTATAATTAAAAGGAAAAAGCTACATGCCACTCACAGTGGTGTATAGCCTGTCTAAACTAAAATTAATTACCCCCTTACTTTGTCTGAAACAGAATTTTTGACACAGCGATAATTATTTTAAAGGTATGTCACAAAAGTTGATGTTGAGATAGCTAAGATAAGACATCTGACATCATGGTTACAATACAGCTTCCACATTCAACTCTGCAGTAGTTTTTGTCAAAGGAGTGAAATTCTGGGAAATGGACAGGATCCAATAATAAATGACGTTTCAAAGAGAATAATGCTGCGTTAACACTTGCTATGTTTCCCTGAGACTGAACCTCATTTCAATTGCTACCCCGCTGCTCTGTTCTCACACTTTATTCTGTTTCAAACCGTGGCTCATTTGCAAAATGCTTTTGTCATCAATTGAGACCCACTGGAAGCTGTTTATCACCATAGCCTGTCGGTTTGAAATCTGAACGTAAGTAATGGAGATAAATGCTCACTGAAATTGTCCCTGCATCAGATGTGTTGTTTCAATCAAGCTATCCATCAGTTTATACTGTATGCCGGATTTACAGTGCACAGAATGCATAAAAGCTGCAAATTACAAATAATAAATAACAAATATACCACCATATTTAAATCCTAAGATGCCACATTTGCATGCTGTATAGAGGTGACATGCAAAAATGTTATGAAATTAGTATTTGACATTTAATATGACATACTATCAGAGCACACTTGGAAAAACTGTAGAAGTAATACTTTTTTGTATGCGATAGCTATTTATTTATTTTATTTGGTTATTAATTCGATTTTTGCTTATTATTTGGTATTTTAACTGTATATTTCTGAAATTTATGTTTCAAATAAGTTGTTTACGAGCGTCATGGTGCCACAATGGGTAGCACGATCACCTCACAGCAAGAAGGATGCTGGTTCAAGCCCCAGCTCAGTTCAAAGCTTGCGTGTTCTCCCCATTTGCTTGAGTTTTCTCTGGGTGCTCCAGCTTCCCCCACAGTCCAAAGACTATAGGTGAACTGAATAAGCTAAATTGGCCATAGTGTATGTGTGAGAAAGTGTGTATGGGTGTTTCCCAGTGTTGGGTTGCAGCTGGAAGGCGTCCGCTGTGTAAAACATATGCTGGATAAGTTGGCTGATTATTCCACTGTGGCGACCCCTTATTTAAAAAGAGACTAAGCCGAAGGAAAATGAAGGAATGTATAGTTTGTTTATTAATTTGGTTTTTGATTATTGGTTTGTTTTTGAACAGTTTTTTATAAAATCTTTGTTTCATATGTGAATATTAATACATTAAGAATTTATATTTTAGATTTAAATCCCGGCTGTTAAGCAATTCTAATTAATGTACATTCATTCATTCATTTTCCTTCGGCTTAGTCTCTATTCATCAGAAGTCGCCACAGCAGATTAAACTGCCATTCTAATTAATAACACATTCTAATTAATTACACAGTACACTCAAAAGTAAATGTAAATCGTAATAATTAAAGCTTTTACTGATTTAGAATTGCTTTAGAAATAAATACAGTTAGACAAATAAAGTTATACAAGGTTAAGGGTGAGTAAATGTGTCATTGAATAACTTGTTTACCAGATTGTTTTAAAACATGAAGTCATTCAGAAATAAAGCGCTATCTAACAATAACTTTTTTGTGCAAAGCTTTCAAAAACAGACAATCTAAAATGTCATAAAATATAAAAATGTGTCTAAAATGTTAGACATTACTATATAAAATTTACACTTTAGGTATTCGGGACAAAGACAACACGTGTGATGCGTTATATTGCTGTTATTATGTGATACAAATCAGAGACAGTCTCATACATGAACAAGAACATAATCAGATGAGATCATAGTTTAAACCAATTTTGTTAACACTTTATAATGACTACACACTATAAATCATTTATTAAGGAATAGCAAATGAACTTATTATGTGTTAAGCATTAACTCTACATTAAAAGACGTTAGGAAGCAGTTTTTAACTGCAACCACAATTGCTGTACTCTTCACTTAATGTGTAACCCACCGGTTCTACTGCACCCAACCCGGTCTTTGCTGGGATCGAACCGGCGATTCTTTGTTTGGGAGTTGGTTGCCCTAACAAAGAGACTAAAAGCCATGGCCTCTAGCGTCTGTCACTAGAACACCTTTAGAGGTCAGAGTGATGTTTACCTTCATAGCTCTTCACTAGCTGGCCTCTGTTACAATTGTATTTTTATACTTTGTTAATTATTATTTTTTATTCCTAAATGAAGTATTGCATTATTTACGAACCAGTTATTTAAGAATAGTTGGTGCTATTTTAAGATCATTCACAATGCGTAAGTAAATGATTAATATTCAAATTGACATTCATATTTCTTATTATTCAGGCATATATTATTGGTTACTATATATGCTAAAAAATGCTTTTTTTAAGTCAACTTCATCCAGTTTTGTGACCTACTCTATAATGAGGACTATTTATGCTTTATAAATCCCTTATAAATGACAATTAAAGGCTCAGTTACATTCTACAGAGGAAAAAAATAAATAAATGACTTTATTAATTTCTATTCATTTGAAAATACACAAATAAAACTATTAAATGAAAAATAAACCTATGAAATTTCATGTAAAATAAAATACAGTACAGTTTAAACTTCGCTAAATAACATTAAAATTTTTCATCATACTATATTGTTAAATTATTATATTGTTGTTGTTTTATCCAATTTTATTTCATTGTATTTATTGCTAATTGTATTTTGACACCCCTGTTATTCGGCAATGTTTAAAGTTTACAGTACTTTATTAATAATTTTTTTAGATAAGATTGCAAACAATTATTGTTTCAATTGATATTGAGCCCTTAAATGTAATTTATAAGGGATTTACAAAGCATAAATAGTCCTCACTTTAGATAAGGTCAGACAACTGTATGAAGTTGACTTAATAAAGCATTTATTAACATACATAGTAACTATTACTATTGCCTGAATAATAAAATACATAAAGGCTGATTTGAATTGTTTATTAATCATTTACTAACTCATTCTCAATGATTCTAAAAGCCACCAACTACTCTTAAATACAAATGGTTTGTAAATAATGGAATTCGGAATTTAGTAGTGAACAATTAATAAGTAATAAAGTATGAAAATACAACTATAAGCACATTAAAATGTGCTTATAAGTCAAGAATACAGCATCTGTATCTGTGTTTATTAACTGCTTACTAACATCTATTAATGTAGAGTTAATGGTTAACAAATAACGAATGAACTATTTGCTAATGCTAAATAAATGATTCATATTGTTAAGTTATTCTAAAGTGTGATCCAAAGTTTACTTTAGAACGTTAAATTATTAAATGTTTACTCCATTATGACAATGGCAAAGTATAAAAATGCACCTTTTCATTAACATGAAGTTATAAAGGCTGAGCTTTATATTGTGTTTAAGCCTTTTGCAGCATTGTGTCTTCTCGACACTTGCTGTTCTGCGAGTAGAATTTACTTTGTGTAAGACACCTTTATTTGCTTCCATGCGATTGTTTATTTTCAATATATTGTAATTTCCATGTCCCGCATGCCTCTTTATAGGTAGGATTTTCTGCTGCTCCAGGGCATTTTATGAGTGTGCTGGCTTCCACACTGGCTTCGTCTATCCCATATTGTGCTCCGACTGCATTATGCATGTTTCTAGTGTTATAGTTGCATACATTGTGTTCTTGCCAGCTGAGGACAGAAAATGCTGATAAAAGGACATTGATACACTAGATGGCAACGGCTGTATCCTCTATAGAGTTCAGTTTCAGGGTTGGGGAACAGCAGATGCCGTCTGTTTTCCTGTGTTAAGTGAATTACCAACGAGTTAAAGCCTGACTTTAATCTGAATTACGAAGACTTAAGGTTTAGGATTAACACCATCTCTCTCTAACCACTAGCTACTGACAAGCTCCTACACACCAAATCTGTCAAAGAAACACACACACACAAACACATGCACACACGTGGACAAACACACACAGCAGGCAGGAGTGAAAGAGAGTTGTTTATCACTACCAAACACCTGTGCGACAGAAAAAAAGTGTTAGCAAAATCCCCACTGAATAGAAAATAATCCTCCGTTTTCTGATGACTTTTAGAGCGCAATGGTGACCTGTGTTTGTGTGTGCGCAAGTGTGTCTGAGGCGTCTTTCTGTTTCATACTCTATTTTTCTTTATTTTGGTTTAACTTTGATACAGTTTGAATGAATAGTTGGATTTGTGAAATATGGAAAGGAGCACAGAGAGCAACACTGAGCACAGGCTTGAACCGCAACCTAAGAGTGAAGACGAAGAGGCAGGGCTATGCCGTTACTGTAGAAACCATTTAAAAATGTCATCCCCGAATTCATCAGACCTTATTAATTAAGAGCACTTATACCTGTAATTATCTCCCTTTGCCAGAAAAATGAAACACAGACAGTTCCCTTGTCACAGCTTAAACTTCATTCTGTGTTAAAACTGTAATGCCAGTTTAATGTCTAATTTGTGGTGAAGCAAGCTCTGAGGTAAGATTACAGGTCACACACGATGGCATTTTAGCACATTTGCTCCATGAAGCGGCAAGAAGTGTACACACAAACCGTATACTCTTCCTCCCGCTCAAACCTTCAAGAGTAAATGCCATCACCTATAAAAGTGAGAAATAGTGGCGAGCAATGAAAGCGTTGAGCTCTGTGTGAATCTGTTTTTAGTTCGAGTGGCATTTTAGCTTCAGCGCCTGTTCCGTTTACACCCTGCCATTAAAGAAAGTAATTCTGCGCTGTCAATCATCTCAGTCTTACAACCATCTCACTGATATAACCCTGAAAAATCCCTCAAGCTAAAGGTTACCTCCTATAGGCGTTACACTGACAGTGCGCTAGCATGTGTGTCTGTTTGTGTCATGTGTTAGTACTTTAGGTGTCAAATCAACCATGATCTGAGGGGTTCAGTGCGTTAATAGTCAAGGGTCCCAGAGAATGTCTTTCAGTGTGGTTTAGTGTATTAGTAATGGGAATGTCTGTTTCCCAGTCTCTTGAAAGGAAGCAAAACCTGTGAATTCACAAGACTGAAGTAGATTTTTGGTTAATGTTTGCATTCATTAAGAGGCCAAATCGGCCAGGTAGACTATTAGGTATATAAGTAGGGAACTTTTAATAACTTTGACATTTTATGTATTTCTTATAAATGTGAGCAATTATACCATTCAAAAGATTCAAAAGTTTTTTTTATTTATTTATTTACTACCATTTTTATTTACCAAGGATGCATAAAATTAATCAAATACATTAAATAACATTAAAAAAAACAGCAGAACAGATTGTATTAAAATTGTTGATAAAAATAACATTGGAAAAAATAAATGTTTTTTGAGCAGCAAATCAATGTACACTACCTGACAAAAGACTTGTCGCCTATCTAAGTTTTAGAAACAACAAATAATAACTTGACTCCTAGATCACTTGATATCAAAAGTGGCTTATATGAAGGCAAAGGCCTCTAAATTGTGTTTATTTTACAAAATAAAATATGATCATGGCTTAATTTTCAATTATTTAATTAGGACTGTAAGGTCTGACTGCTTAGACGAAAGTCTTGTCGCTTAACAGAAATAATGTACAGTATAGAATATAAAGTCTTGGTGCGGTGGAAAAATAATTAATATTGTGTCTGACTGCCATGAGCTTGGAGGACTGCATCCATACATTACATCTCTGCAATGATTCAAATAACTTATTAATAAAGTCATCTTGAATGGCAAAAGAAGCGTTCTTGCAGGACTCCCAAAGTTCATCAAGATTCTTGGGATTCATCTTCATTGCTTTCTCCTTCATCTTACCCCAAACATGCTCAATAATGTTTATGTCTGGTGACCGGGCTGGCAAATCCTGGAGCACCTTGACCTTCTTTGACCTTCTTTGCTTTTAGGACTTTTGATGTGGAGGTTGAAGTATGAGAAGGAGCGGTCTCCTGCTGAAGAATTTGCCCTTTTCTGTGGTTTGTAATGTAATGGGCAGCACAAATGTCTTGATACCTCAGGCTGTTGATGTTGCCATCCACTCTGCAGATCTCTCGCACACCCCCATACTGAATGTAACCCCAAACCATGATTTTTCCTTCACCAAACTTGACTGATTTCTTTTAGAATCTCGGGCCCATGCAGGTTCCAATAGATCTTCTTCAGTATTTGTGAAGATTGTAATGCAGGAAAAATCTACCTTCTGCCACTTTTTCAAATGATCAACTAGAAGTCAAGTTATTATTTATTGCTCTAACAACTGAGATCGACTACCAAACTTTTGTCAAATAGTGTATTATAATACTTTCTGAAAGATTTAAAAGTAATGATGCTAAAAAACAAAATCATCAGTGTAACGTTTTACTGTATTTTCAACAATAACTGAGTTATAACAACAATAAAAAATATATAATAATGTAATATAATATAATATAATATAATATAATATAATATAATATAATATAATATAATATAATATAATATAATATAATAGTACCAGTATATAAGGTACCAGTATTGATCTTTTAAAAAAGTACCCGTAATAAGATTTTACAGATTCAAAAGCTTATATAAACCTTCTGATTGATACTAGTCTCATTCCTTTTAAATTCTGCAAAAACTTTCCATGGACAGAGAGGGCAAAACTTGTGTGATTTCGTAATTGTAGTTCAGAGCTCATCCGTTACAGCACATATAGACAGTGTGTGTCCTGCTCAAATGCAGGTGTCCTTTAAAGATCACTGTATAGGGCACGTTGTTGAGCTGCAGGCGAGGCGAGTACAGAACACTCATTCATTATGTTGAATGTGCCTCACATCCACTGACACAGGCACAGAAACACACAGTGTTTCCCATCTAAAATGGGTCACATCTCTGTAGTTTATGGGGAAAGACAGCCATAGGTAAGTCGGTGTGTGTTACTTATTTCTTGGTAGACAAGCAATAGTAGGTTCAGCTCACTGCCTCAAGCAGAAAATCACGCCGTAAATCTGGCACAAAGACCTTTACAGCTCTATTGCATGTCAAGCATTTGAGTTGCAATGACAGCTGGCCTTATGGAACCTGTCTCCCAGACTGATTTTGCCTTCTCATGGGCTACAACAGTTTTTCATTTACACTGGACAATAAGCAGTTCGCTTCAATGGTTCAGAGCCTTCTATATGTCCAAGATATAAACCTATAGTGTTCCCATAAGTTAAAGCCATCAAACACAGATCTGCACTTGGCACTGGAATTGTTTCTGTTGTGCTGCAGAGCTATAATTGAACATTCTGCTGTCCAAGGCACTAAACTGAATCTCATCGAGGAAACTCTGTGTTGTCCACAGTGGCTGATATATTTTTGGGCAATGGAGCCTAACATAGACTTATTCTGAAATACTAAACAGTTCTTGTAATGTGATCAGCGGCAAACCAGACCTGTATGACTTATTTTTCTTGGACATTTTGTGTTCTGTAGAAGGACAAATTCATGTACAGTGTATAAAACGCTGATGATCAATTGTGCGAGTCTGATTTTATTTCTGTTCAGTTCGTTCTGTTTCATGTAAGAGCTTTTCTTTGTGTATTTCAGCTGCTATCCGAGAGCCAGATTAACATGGTGAAGGTTGTCAACTCTGTGAGTGATGCTCTGAACGCCATGCAGAAAGAAACAGGAGGCTTGAAGGCCAGGGTGAAGGCTGACCTGCAGAGGGCGCCAGTCAGAGGAGTGCGCCTTAAAGGATGTGCTAATGGTAGGAAATCTGTACTGCCTATACATCTACTTTTATTTAGCAGTTTTAAGGTTTTATCTCAGTCCACTGGGCATTTTTCTACACTATACTACCAATAGAAGGGTTTGAGGCTGTTAAGATGTTTTTTTATATTACTACATTATACATGTTCTTCCCCAAAAACACATTTGGGTGATTAAAATACAGTGAAAAGTGTCAAATTGTTAACTGTTATTATATTATAGATTTTATTAATATATGCGTGTATGTAAGTAAGTACAGTATGTATGTATCAATGCAGTTAGTTTTTTATTTATTTATTTATTTATTTTTAATTTGTTTATTTATTTATATACAGTGCTTAGCATAGTTGAGTACACCCCATTTTGAAAACGAATATTTTTATCCATTTCTCAGTGAATATAGGCAATGTAATTTGGTGCATTTAAACAAAAAAAATTAAATAGATATATTTATAAAAATAATATTTTAGTCATATTTAGAAATTGAAAGATAAATACAATTAAATTCAAGCAATATATTACAAAACAATTACAACCAACAAAATTTCAACAAAATTTTCCTTTTTTTTTTCTTTTTTTTTTTTTGCTTCTCTTGATTTTTCCTCTTATTTAAATTTGAATTTAATCATTTTTTGAAACATATAACTTTGGGTATACTAGTTTTTGGACTAGTTTTTGTGTGTATTATATATACTTATCATAGAAACAAAACTATACAATAAATATAAACAATTTTGTTACATACAGTGCTCAGCATATTTGAGTAGACCCCATTTTGAAAATGAATATCCATTTCTCAGTGAATATGGGAAATATTGGTGCATTTAAACAAAGCAGATTTATTAAACAGATATATTTATTAAAATAGTATTTTGGTCACAGAACATCCTTAGAAACTGAAAGATAATACATTTAAATTCTTGCTAAAAATTGCAACAAAAAAAATGAACTACAACAGTTCAACAGGACGACGCAGTGGCGCATTAGGTAGTGCTGTCGCCTCACAGCAAGAAGGTCGCTCGGCTCAGCTTAGTTGGCGTTTCTGTGTGGAGTTTGCATGTTCTCCCTGCGTTCGCGTGGGTTTCCTCCGGGTGCCCCCACAGTCCAAAGACATGCGGTACAGGTGAATTGGGTAGGCTAATTGTCCGTAGTGTATGAGTGTGTTTATGAATGTGTGTGTGGATGTTTCCCAGAGATGGGTTGCAGCTGAAAAGGGATCCGCTGTGTAAAAACGTGCTGGATAAGTTGGCGGTTTATTCCGCTGTGGCGACCCCGGATTAATAAAGGGACTAAGGCGACAAGAAAATGAATGAATGAATGAACATTTCAGCAAAATTGTATATATTTATAGTTTCTCTTGTTTTTCACTATTTTTGACATTTTATTTAATATTTTTTTAACATAAATTTTGGTGTACTCATTTTTTTAACCATTATTGTAAGTTATTTTGTTATATAAGCTCCAGATTTGGCTTCAGTACTGACTTATCTAATGTATATGCACAAATATAATATTGAAAAGCTTTCTATTAAAAATATTAATTTAAAAGATAGATTTGTGAGGGGTGTACTTATATATGCTGAATTGTAGCGTATTGTATGTTTAAAATTGGAACTTTCAGTAGTTAATACCAGAGTAACATGATTCCTCAGATTTTTTTTATAGAGAGTTGTATTGTGCAGCTTAAATTGTTGTGTTGTAATGTGCAGCTTAATAATTTTGTTTAAATATTCAGTTTTTTTTTTGTATTTTATGAACAGGAAATTCCAGGCACATTTCCTGGAACTATAAAGTGTCCAGTGAATGCATTTTTTATGTCTCCAATTCCTTCAAGCATCCCTGATTGTCAATAAAGTTTTTATTATATAATATTGTCAATATTCGGCTAACTGACATATTTTTCTTCTTAGAATTATTGTTTAAATATTTAGTTTTGATTCAGTCTGTTTTGCAAATTCTTTCTTACACATTGAATGGTTTTCAGTGACTTTTTCTGAGACTCCTTAAGTCCCCAAGAACCAGAAGCTGTGATCGTTATTTTTTTATTGTGACGCAGTTCCTAAAGAAACAGACTTTTAAATGAGCAAACTGTAGGCGTGGCTTGTTTTTTCTACTGCAAGCTAAATGGATGGGGTAAAGTAGGCATTTAATTCAAGGGGTTGTGGGAAAGTTAGAACAGTATAGAAAAGTTTGGTTCTTCAAACAAGTTTGCAAATTTTAGAGATTAATTTTAGAGTTAAGTATGTTAGCCATGCCCATTGCCTCGATACTGCTTAATCTGATAATCTTATAAAGGACAAACCATATTTTCTTCTTAAAGACATGCACAGATGAGTTGTTGACCACAAAACTGGCCATATGAGCTAACGAAATCATATAGTTTGTTCTGATTCTTTGGAACTTTAAAGTCAGGAAATTATCGTTTTTTACTTTTCTCCATTTGACCTTTAAGCTCAGGAAAGCTGCTAGTGGAAGGGTTGAATTCAGAGCAGCATCACAGCATACTGCTATAACTAGCAGCTTTATAATGATTAGGCACATGACATATTTCGCTCAGGTGCTTGTCTTTATCAACTCTGTTGTCCCATGAGGAAAGATTCATATTCAAATCAGGTAGCCTGACATCACCTGCTCAGAATCACAAGCACTTTGGTTTCTGATGAGAGGCGTTCTGATCCTCCTCCCACTGTTGACTCATTGGTTTTCAATCCGAAGAACTTCAGACAATTTCACGGAAAACTGTGTTTAAAAAAACGCACATAACTGTTGTCTTCTTTTTGTGCCCCCGCTGATCTGAATTCTCATTAGATATGTCGCTGGAAGCTGAAGGAAAGTGTCTGTGCTTAAATTGTGTTCTCAGGAGGCCTAATGTGTCTGAAAGCATTTTACCACTTTACTTTTATAGCCCTGATGTGTCTGCAGGATCCACAGGTGTGGCTCGTAATGAACTCCTGAATGGAGCAGACACTTGTATGCAAGCGTGTGCCAGTGAACGGAAAAGTGTTTTCTATAATCAGGAAAAAGGATCGCTCTTTTGGGAACAGAGACCAGTAAACTGAGAAGCACCAGCTGCCTTGGAAAAACTGGCACAAAATCATGTTAGCTAACCTAGAGCTATATTCCTTTGGTCATTAAATCAGCCTTGGCCTAGTTTAGTTATTTGCACTTCTGCATCCTTTTGGTGATCTAGTCTTTGTGTTTTTTGTTTTTAACTCTTTCCCTGTCTTTTTTGTTTTTTCAAGGCTCTCGTCCGCGAGACTGCAGCGATATATATGCTAGTGGTCAGAGGGAAGATGGCATCTACTCTGTTTTTCCCACTCATTACCCTGCCGGCTTTCAGGTCTACTGTGATATGAGCACAGATGGAGGTGGCTGGACGGTGAGTCACATGAACACTTGCATATTTGCTAGTGTAAGTTTGTTGTAATATGTAGCTTCTGATGCATTATTCAGTTTTATTGGTGGTAGACCACCTCAAGTGCGCCTTTTAGATATATATATATTTACTATAATATGTGAAGGAATGGCTTCTGCAAAAAAAAGAGATTCTTATGTCATTTGATGAACAATCTGAATATTGAGAGTATCTGAATACATGAGAGGGACATGTGACTCATTAGCCCCTTTCACACAGTGATACCGGTAAATATCTGGAAAATTTCCGGAACGACTTTACCGGTGTATAAAAAAAAGCACAGTTCACACAGACGAGGACCTTACGCAGTTTTTCGGGAGAAGAGCATTTATATATCCATTCCAAAATACAGGTAAATTCTGACATCATTAAGCAGAAATTACCTCTGATCGGCTGCACTTGTATTTTTTTTAAACATTTGACTACATTGCAAACTCTGTGTATGGATCAGTATTGTGAACACCTCCGATGAAAACATAGAGAAACACTTTCGCATGTCGAGATGTACATGATATGTGTGTGTGTTGGCGCTCACCCGCTGTTTCACAGGCACATGCAAAGCTTGAAGGTAAACAAACAACGGCTTATAAGCATCTTATCGATAATTAATTACACTGTTGGCATTAAGATGAACATATGAACATTATCTGACTAACTTCTAGCAGCTAAATGCGTCTAGGAAAATATTCAAAGGCTTTTATTCTCATAAACCGTGCGGACGTAAATGCGTCTGACTGTTCAGATTGGCTAAAGCAGACGTCTCATGCAGCACGTTCTAGACATGAACGTGCTCTTTCCGGCAATCTTCCTTCTGCTTTCACACAGCGCAGCGTTCCGGCATATTACCGGTAATGTTACAACTTCTCTTTCTGGAAAATAGCTGGTAATTTTCCGGAAAGATCTGTATGTGTGAAAGGGGCTATTATTGTCCACATTTTAATGTGCTCATATAATGTGATTTTTCCAAGAATCAGAGAAAGGGCTGAATTGCAATAACACAAGTAGATGTCAGGAGAAAAGCTCTTAATGCCGTTTACATGCAATTTTCATTATTCATATTTTTGTGAATTTTACATTATTCAAATTGCACTATACAGTGCTCAGCATATATACAGTTGAAGTCATAATTATTAGCCCATCTCTTTTTCCCTCAATTTTTGTTTAACGCAGAGAATATTTTTTAACACATTTTCTAAACATAGGTTTTAATACCTCATTTCTAATAACTGATTTCTTTTTTTTTATCTTTGCCATGATGACAGTAAAAATTATTGTACTAGATATTGAAACTAAAAAGACTTTCCCAAGAAGAAAAAATATTATCAGACATACTGTGTAAAATTCCTTGCTCTGTCAAACATTATTTGGGAAACATTTAAAAAAGAAAAAAAAATGTATAGGGGGTTTAATAATTATGATTTCATCCGTATGTCATTGGATGAACATTTGATCTGAATATTGAGAGTATCTGAATACATGAGAGGGATTTTACGACTCATTGTCTACATTTAAATGTGCACATATAATATTATTATTTCCAAAAATCAAAGGGCTTAATTGCAATAACACATTTAGATGTCAGGAGCAAAGCTCTTAATGCCGTTTACGTGCAATTTCCATTATTCATATTTTTGTACATTATTCAAAATACACTATACAGTGCTCAGCATATATATGTACTCGCCTCGCGGATGTATCTTTTAAATTCTTATTTATAATAGGAAGCTATGCTATATTGTATTTGTGCATATACATTAGATTAGTCAGTACTGAAGTCAAATCTGGAGCTTATCTAACAAAAGAACGCACGATAACAGTCTAAAAACGAGTACACTCAAATTTAAACATTATTGAAAAAAAATTAAATACGAATTTAAATAAGAGGAAAAATCAAGAGAATAAAAAAAAATTTTAAAGTTGAAATTTGACTTGTTGTAATTCAATTTGCTTGAATTTAATTGTATTATCTTTCAATTTCTAAATATGTTTGGAGTCTAAAATATTATTTTAATAAATATATCTATTTAAAAAAAATCTGTTTTGTTTAAATGCACCAAAATACATTGCCTATATTCACTGGGAAATGGATAAAAAATAGTCTTTTTTTATAATTAAGTGTACTCAATTATTCTCAATTATTCTGAATAGCACTGAATATAAGATTTGCAGTTATTTTTTCTTAAACCAGTTTTTCATGTGCCTCACTTCACTGCACAAATGATAGACTTAAAGTAGGCCTTACTGACCGCTATTTTAATTTATTTAATGTAGTATATATAATTTTGTATGGTTGTAGTATGTGTTTTTTCAGCACCATAGAAATGCCACTTAAGCTGGATGGATGGGTGAGCAGAGACTGGTGGCAGCTAGTTATATTTAACAGGGTTCTGCAATGTGGAGTTGAGGGAACGTTTCAGAAAGTCTACTATAAAACTTTCACTATAAAACTGCACTTTCTACTATAAAACTGCTCTATAAAACAACTGTTCAAAAGTTGTTTATCATTTAATTTATTGATTTGTTCCAGTGATTTTAAAGATGAATTTTCAGCTTCATTACTTCAGTCTTTACATAATCCTTCATAAATCACTCTAATATTAATTATTATTAATAATAATATTATTAATATTATTATTAACGGTAATAGTAATAAAAGCAATAGACTAGAGTAATAATTTAAATTGAATGTACATACAATAAGAAAATGATTTATTATATTATTTACAATTTTAATAAATATTTAACAATTTTATTTAAAAAAAAAATTTTCATAAATGCCGCCTTGATGAACAGAATGATTTTCTTTAAAACAAAACATGAAAAAAAAAAACTGACCCCAAACTTTTGACTGATATTGTATGTGTGACTTGGGTCACCGAATGAGTCCAGGAGAGTTTTCCTTTCATGCGCTAGAGCAGGAAATACTTTAAAATCACTTCACACAGATGGCACAAATACCTCTGCCCTCATGCACACATACACTGTGCAGCACGGAAATAAGGTAATTGGGGTTTTTACATGCCTGAATACTTACCTTTGTTAATATGATTATGCTTACTGCAATTATTAACTTAATCACATTATTTAGATCAAATTAGTGCATTTTATTCAAAGGTAAAGTTTAATCTCAATATTGCTAAAATCCCATTCTAATCGCATTAAGATGGTCCGCGTAAACATCCTCATTTTCTTGGATAGGCAGTTAATTGATTAAAAGAGTCCGAACCTCCTCCTGGAAAGCACAAATACAAAACCTCATATACACTTGCAGTCTTGTCCAACAACAAATTTAAAGAGGTTAAAAAGAATGAATATTCTAATCATTTAGGTCAGGGGTGTCCAAACCCTCTCCCAAGGGCCACTGTCCTGCAGATTTAGCTGCAACTTTTCTCAGCACACCTGGCTGGATGCTTCTATATGCATAGCAAAATCAGGATTAACTGGTTCAGATGCATTTAATTAGGATAGGAGCTACAGTAGATATGCAGGACAGTGGCCCTTCAAAAGCAGGATTGGATGCACATTTTTCCTCAGTTTTGAGATTATATCTGGACATGAAAATGCAAAAACATTCTACGAAGACTGTCAAGAGCATGCCAAACCAACACGTGGTGAAATAGGTGAAATAACCCTGCAGCATGTGAATGTTCCGTTACAGCCTTCACGTTGTCGCATAGCCCACGCCGTGGTTGATGCGGATATGCACTTCTTAAAAAATGGAACTACACGTTGCAATGATGCGTAGCGCAAGCTCTGTTATTGATTGGCTTGGTAGCGGTGACAAGTGTGGGCGGTGCTGAAAGCCGCGAGCCTGATGGAGCGAGTGTTTAGGAGTGTCGAGTCCTGTAAGGGTGCTTCGGATGGAAACCTTTGTTTTGCGTTTTACTTTATAATTAAAGTTGATGCATGTTTACTGGTTCCTGTCTCTGAATCAGCAGGTTTTAGCTACTTGTAGATTAATATAGCATTCAGAAAGAAAAAAAAACACCCGGGAAGAAACTCGACACAGAGGAACATAAAAACCTATTTTCAGCTAGCCTTTCAGAAGTGTTATTGCAGTAACACAAACTGCATGCAGAAAAATAAATGCAAGACTATGCGCAAGGCTGGCACCGTGGGTAACAGCGATTACTCGACGCAGAAGTATAAATCTGCCTTAAGCATAAAAACAGGTTAACCAATCAGAAGCGCACAGTCAGAAGGGCACACAGTCTGCTATCAAAAGAGACATTGGCTGTTTTTCAATTCCAAGTTTGAAGAGAGCGGACTTCTGTTCTTATGGAGATTGGTCTTGCCAGGTTACCTCGAAAGAATCAACTCAGGAGACCTCGAGAACAGAGAATGCTTCCTTTGAGAAATGACATGCAGCATTTTTCCTGATGGTCGCATGACCTTTATGGACTTTTAACAGAAATTTATTTAAACATTACAGCATTCATACAACAGTTTACTGTTTTTTCTTCCTTTTCAGTAAGCTCAAAAGCCTTACAAAGATTCTTTTCACAATACAAATAAAACAGATTTTAATATGAATTTTAGCAAATAAACACCCTTAATGTGTTCAAGCCTTTATTAAGATTATCATGTTAATGTTTACTTTCACCATCTCATATAGAGAAACTGCTTAGATACCGTAATTTATATCTCTGAACTTTAATAATAAATTTCTATAAAATGCTACACTTCCCACCTCTGTGTTGATGCTTCCTCGATAGTAGGATTACATTTAGATTTTTTCACACGTCCTCCTTAATTGCTGTCTTGAGTTTTGGAAATTATTAGAGTTTTAGCAATTATTTGGTTTTAGTAACCTGATTCATGAATCACATAGGAAATACAAATACCCATATTTGTGTAGATAGGGCCATACACCATGTATCTACAACAACATAAAGATTGTCAGATTGTTTTAGTTTTAGAATTACAACCCTACAGAGAGAATATTTGAAAGTTTATTTCACTGC